TTTTGCCAGTGTAAGTGTTGATCATGTGCTGTGGCCTTAGTAGGTATCCGATCAGCTGCAACACTATTATCAAAACACCCACTAAGGAAATATCCCATCTTTAACCTCCTAGGACCTGGCATCCACATATGTGGACATCACATTTTGGGTTATTTAGACCAAAATACTCAATTTTGCTTTACAGGGGCCTGATATCCACTTACAAGGTTATATACTGCTACTGTTCTATCAAAATTTTAAACGAATATCCTCATATGTGGCTCTTATTTTTCTTAAAAACAAAAATAAGGTAAAGAAAATGTGGTAATTCTTTGGTTTTACGTTCATTGGGCCCCAATATGCCCAAATATCAAAGACAAATTAAAAATGCATGCCGTAGAAGAGTTCGGGTCTTAGGAGGTTAACATGAGGGGATCCATGTTGTTATATTTTATTAGCCCAAAGGCTCTGTCTATCAGTTGAACTGCCAAAGCGGTAGGTGGTGCTAAAGATGAAACCAGTACTAGTTAAAACCTGCGATTGGATGAAGAGGAAAAGGAGGGACCAACCAGAAGCGAAATGTACAGATTAACCTGCCTGTGTACGACGGGTTAAGGAAGAGACCGTCGAAGAGGACAGCCATGAAGTGGATACGGTTCTCGCTCCTGGTTTTGGGGGTGTTTTCCCTCTGCTGTGCCACGGCTGGTGACAGCAGCGGCATAAAGAAAATGAAGATGCAGTTTGCCACTGGACCTCTTCTCAGGTTTCAAATCTGGTAAGCAAATGAGCCAAAAAACTGGCGAGTCATTGCACGCTAGCCCCCGGCTAACAACGTCGCAGGCCTAAAATCGGTAAACGCTCGCCGATAGGAGGTTAATTTACCGGATGTTTGTTAGGAAATAACAACGCTGCGGGTTGTTCAAACTGAATAAATAAACAGCTGTCAAAAGCTCTACTGAAATCATTTTCTGGAAGTCGATCATTTTTGGCACTTTTTTTTCGTAAACATTTGGTGGAAAACATGGCTTCCTCTTCCGCTGTTAAACCTTTAATAAACCGTCTACTGTGTGTAGGTCATGCTAATGCGTCATTATCGTTACGCTACGACGACAGGATTTTTTTTTTCCAGATTACAGTAAAATGTTCCCTCTGGTCTGCAGTTATTGTTGGTAAATTCAACATATTGTTTTCGCTGATAGACTTGGAGATTTTAGGCAAATTAGTCCACTAACTACTCCAAATATTAACCTGACCAGGAGGCGGTGTGCTAACCTGAAAACTCTCACTTTGTTTGACGTTTGTGTACGAGGAAATGATTTTTTTAAGACCACGTTTGCAATGTAAATAAGCTAGTCACTAAAGCAAACACAGCTGAACATGCAGCTTTCATGTACGATAACGCGCTGCTGCCAAGTCAAATATAAAACTTTTGAGTAAATGATCAACAGAGAAGTTTGAAATTCAAATCTTCGTGCTAAATCATCAACGTAACCTTTGTTAGCCTGTCCTGTTTTGACTTTAGACTGTGCTCGGCTTCCTAGCAGTGTCCTTGTTTTCCCCCACAGCATTTCCTGAGGATACAAGCGGGTGTTTGAGGAGTACACGCAGGCCTTGTACCAGCGGTACCCAGACATCCGCATTGAAGGGGAGAACTATCTTCCTGTTCCCATGTATCGGTAAGCGAGAGCGAAAGATTGCCTGCCTTGTTACAAGTGGATTACGTCGAGCCTTATTAAAGTGGGCTGAAAGCTCCCTGGGATTAGC